AGGTAAACGGCATTTCCATGCACTCTGGTTTCTGTCATGGTGTTCCATTGCATCAGAAGTGGTTTGGTCATGCTGGCCGCGTGACCCAGAAAGTTGTCTGTGGACAAATGCCACATCTCCGCCTGAAAGCGAGAAGAGCACCGCAACCCCATAGTCGCCTTTGAATGGACTTAACAGTCAATGGGTTCCTTTACCTTTTTACTCTGCCTCAGGACTCCAGAGACTGACAATGCCTTCCAGGAACACTAGTTCCACCTACCGGTATACTGTTGGGGAAATATTGGGGTTCAACACCCTATATCCCAGACATCGGCAAACTCAGCCCTCCAAATGTTTTGGGACTACAATTCCCATCATCCCTGACCACTGGTTCTGTTAGCTAGGGATCATGGGAGTTGTAGTCCCAAAAACATCTGGAGGGCCGAGTTTGCCTATGCTTGCTATACTCTGTTGTTTCAGCCTGGACGGCCAATAAGATCCAGACTACAACTCTCAGTCAAACCTCAAATAGCAAACAATTTCACCAAATATGAAAGCAGCACAAACATTTATACCCTTACAAGCAAAGGAGAGGTTATGTCCATCTATGGCAATCCTTCATTCAGCTAGGTTCTACTGGTTTAATCATGACGCATAGCAATGTTCTTATCTTTCCCTCCTTTGTCCCCAACAGTTATAGCAATAGCTCCTGCGTACATGTTGTTCTGTTCTTCTCTCCTGGTTCTCTTGCAAATAGAGCCTTCACATACCAGTCTTCACTTGCTGAGTCCTTCTCACTTCAAATGTTAATTTTACCCTTCTTCTACAACTGAACAGGACATTGGATGTAGGTGAGCAATGAGGGGTAGGGGAGCCAGTGTGGTGTAGTGGTTAGGAGCGGTAGACTCGTAATCTGGTGAACCGGGTTCGCTTCCCTGCTCCTCCACATGCAGCTGCTGGGTGACCTTGGGCTAGTCACACTTATTTGAATTCTCTCAGCCCCCCTCACCTCACAGAGTTGTGGGGGAGGAGGGGAAAGGAGATTGTTAGCCGCTTTGAGACTCCTTAGGGTAGTGATAAAGCGGAATATCAAATCCAAACTCTTCTTCTCTTCTTCCTACTGGGCTGGGAAAGATTCCCTGTCTGACACCCTGGAGAGCCACTGCAAGTCAGTGTACTGTAGATCATGGGTAGGCAAACTAAGGCCCGGGGGCCGGATCCGGCCCATTCGCCTTCTAAATCCGGCCCGCGGACGGTCCGGGAATCAGTGTGTTTTTACATGAGTAGAATGTGTCCTTTATTATTATTATTATTTTGTTAAATGTTACCCCCCCCAATAGAAAAAAGAAATAGAAACAATACATAACCATACATAAAAACATTTTATCTACACAATTTTCCAGAATGCAGACTAGAAAGACAAAAGATAAAAGAAAGAAAAAGAATGAAGCAAAAAATACTTTTCATAATCAATTATTCCAAATTCATACTTCAAACATTACAATATTTAAATCCTAGTTAAAATATTATTAAAGACTTCCACCGCATTCACCACACGTCTCTTGGTTATCTAATTCACCTTTACATCTGTTCTTCAGTCACTTCCTTTCCTTAAATTCTTTCATAGTCCATCTAATCTTTGTATTCTCTGTATTCTTCACAAGGTTAGTCTAAGCACAACCAAACTTTTGTGTTTGATCCCAGTTTGTGTAAATATTCATTTAAGCATTCCCATTGTTTCTGTACCATAATTTTAGATTTATGCCTTATTATATCTCTCAATTTTGCTAACTCCAGATACTCACATAGTTTACTTGACCATTCCTTTTTTGTTGGGATAGAATGTGTCCTTTTATTTAAAATGCATCTCTGGGTTATTTGTGGGGCCTGCCTGGTGTTTTTACATGAGTAGAATGTGTGCTTCTATTTAAAATGCATCTCTGGGTTATTTGTGGGGCATAGGTGTTTTGTTGTGGGTGAACATATCAGACGACACAGCGATTCTTCAAACAGCTCTTGTTTATTCCGAGGCCAGAACTGAACTGAACTGAAGAGCTCAGTCAGCCTGCTTATATAGAGCTCCAGTACAATGTTACTGTAGCAACTTTCTAAAACTATCCAATCACTGAACATTACTTTTGATCCTTCATTTGCATACAAACTATCCAATCAATGAACGTCACTTTCGATCCTTCATTTGCATAACTATCTACAGTATCCCCCTGCTGGCCCAGGGTGAGAACTTCAGTACATAACAATAGGAATTCATTCTTTTCCTCCCTTCAAAATATAGTCTGGCCCCCCACAAGGTCTGCGGGACAGTGGACCGGCCCCCTGCTGAAAAAGTTTTCTGATCCCTGCTAGACGATACTAAGCCAGACCGACTACTGTAGTAGCCTGGCTTGGTGTAAGGCAGTTTCTTTTTTTCTTTTTAAAAATACTGTTTTTATTTATTTTCAAGGTACAGAAGAGTAAATATTGAGAAAACAATTGTTACAACAGTAAGCAGCGGATAACTTGTCCTGAGAAAATGTCAGACTTTTATCATGCCCTATGTGCTTGCCTGTCTTGTGATTCCCATCTTGTGTACATCAGTCCTATCCCAACACCAAGGTCTTCTTCCCTATTCCTGGACACAGTTGCCCCCAGCTACTATCAGATAAGAAACCACAACAGCTGCCTCTTTAATGAAAAAAAGATTGCAACAGACTCCGCAAGCAAAGTGCTGCAAAAACACATTACTCTCTAAAACATTTGCTATGATCGCTTCTGCTTTGGAAAAAGTAGAGAATCTGGGTGTTTCTTTTAATAACTTTTATAACTTGATTTACTCACAGTATGGTCTTTTTATTTTTTTTTAAAAAAATAGCAATTAAGATATTCATTTGCATGTAAGAAGGAAATAATGAAGCTATATTTTGATTAGAGGCAGACTGCACAGTGCTTTAGGAAATACATTTTCATTGTTTGATTTGAAGGAATACTCTCACTACCTGTTAACCTGCATAACTCAGTAAATCATACACTGGTTGCAGTTTTAACTTTTGCAGATAAAATATGATAGTTTCCCCTCTGAGGCGATATCCATGTCCCTGGAAGAGGTATTAAAGATAATAAGACAGAACAGTGAAATATTTGGCAATAATCTTAATAAGAATGCAGGAGATTATGGGCCTGCATATAAAAGAGATGATGGAGATCAAGACTTACGGTATATTATCCATGCTATTGCTTGGAAAAATAAACTGCCTAAGTTAGGTGTATTGGAGTATAGTTAGCTATGGAATACAATTATTTGCAAATGAGAGAAAATAGAAACCCCAAAAGGAAAAATAATCCCTGGCTAATAAGGCAATACCATAAAACAAAAAGTTAAGGATAACAAACTTAAATGAGCTTTACAATCAGTCTCTGTATTCACAAAATCTAATGGCTGTGTTGCCCATAAATATGTTAACAATAATGTACAGCATTTCAACACCTTCTATTACATAAAATCTTAAATAATTTATACAATGGCAAAATAATAATGACTTTTGCAACTCAGTATCTTAAAGTCCGGCAGTCCAAATATTTCTGAAATAAGTCCATGAGAGAAATACTCTCTGTGCATATTTGTTCTAGTGCGGTCCCAACGGAACTCCGACAATGAGATACCCGGATTTCAATCTCTGTTTTGTGAATAGCCCTTTGGTCAGCCTGGAAAGGAACTCTAAATTATATATAACATGCTTATAAGAACCTCATTCAATACAAGCCTCATACAATGACAAAAATTCTTATCATAATAAAAACTCAATGCATTACACTTACATACAATGGCAATTCAACGCTCCACCAAATACTTCAGCTCCAACCTTCGAATGGCCATTTGGTCTTTTTTGGGGGGAAAGGCTGATACGGTCACAGTTATGCATACTGCTTATATGCCCCAAGGACCAGCAATTTGTCCAGCGAATTGTACAAGCAAACACATGAAAACGGCTTATGTTTGGTATGCCAGATTTTATAATGGCTCGTAGCTCAATGGATCATGTGCAAATATTGTAGGTGCATTTAGCACACTCTTGAAGCATTGAGTAGACCCACCTGCCACCCTGTTATTACAAGTGTCCAGGTTGAGTGTTGGGAGAATGAGAGAAACAGGAAAAGCAAATGAAATGGACACAACTCCACATTCAAACATTTCACAAATGACACTGGGGACAGTTGTGCATCTGTAACCATCACTGCCCTGGGGTTCTCTTTTCACCTAATATTACACTCATCTCTGCTTTATGGTTCCTTTATGAAGCAAATTATGTCACTAGACTGATCCTATGATGATGATGATGATGTCCGAGTTTTAGGAAAACGGTATATCAAGACATATCCAGCACAAATAAAACAAGTTTTGTTTATTTACATTCTACTTCTTTTAAAATGCATGCTTTCCCAAAGCTGCTACAGGCTTTTGAGTTTTCAAAAAACAACACACCAGTCAGTCTGATAGGTTTATTTTTATGCAGTGCTTTCTTATGTATAAGGGGTACTCTCATTTTGACTCAAGAAAACCACCATTTTATAGTTCGAATCGGGGAAAATAAATACAAATTCACAAAATGCTTAGGGGTATGCGTTTCCCCCAGAAAAAAAGCATTGGGTTTATGGCATGCATATGGAGCATAACGGAATTCTTAGTTGGGGACCAGCCTCATGACAAAAGAAAAAAACAACTAATTACATTTTTTTTATTTAAAAAGGGCTCAGCTGAGTGATATTGACCCAGCACAGCTGCGTAATGCGCGAGAGCGCCTCAACGGGGCCGCGCGGAAGGATGACAGGGTGGAAGGCGAGAGCGCACGCGCGCAGCGACCACCCACTCGCGTCTGTAGAACACTCCGCCCATCCTCTCAGGCGCATGCGCCCCTCAAGCCGTCGGCTCCCGCCAGCTGAAGTTGATTGGAAGGGAGCCGGCGGCGCCGCAAAAAAAAGGGAAAAGGGGGTCCGGCGGCAGTTCTCGCGAGACCTGTGGATCTATAAATGCAGGGAGGCGGGAAGGAGGCGGGCCCTTTTTCTCGCAGTGCGCGCTGGTGCTGCTGCGTTTGTCCATCCGTCCGCCCCGCAGGTGCCCTCCGTCCTGTTCCGCCCCGTCCGCGCGGCTCCTGCGACTGACGTGACTTGAGGGGGAGAAAAGGTGATACCGACGACGACCGCGTTAGGTGGTGAGCGGCGGCCAGCAGACAAGATGGAGGACAGCAGCATGGACATGGACAACATGGGCTCCCTCAGGCCGCAGACCTTCCTCTTCGGTAAAAGGGCCTAGGCCGCCCGCCCGCGTGAGGGAAAGACGAGGCGGGGGGTTATCTCCCCCCCACCCATTTGGCGCATGCGCACGTCCTCTTTCCTACGCGGCTTCTCCCCCCCTCCCTCGCCCCGCGTTTCGAACGTCCCTCGCGCGCTCCGCGTTCCTCCCTCGCCCGCTTTTCATGGAGGGCGGGGCCGGGTCGAAGCGCCTGGAAGGAACTAAGGAAGGAAGGTGGGGGGGGTTCTTCCCCACGTGGCTGGCGCTTCGCGGGCTCTTGCTTCGGGGGGGGGAAATTAGGGGGCCCTCAGCCGCCCTGCTGTGTGTTTGGAAATGCGGCGGCTGCTTCCTTTGTCCTCCTTTCCCACCCCCTCCAACCTCCTCTCCGCTTAAATGGACGCCGTCTCGGCCGCTTTGGCACCGGGCCCACCAGTTCCTGGCGACGCTCCCCTCCCCCTTCCTCTCACGTGGCTGGAGGAGGAGGAGGGGGGGGAGTTGGGTGAGGGGCCTTTTGGCTCCATGTCTCCCCCATGCGCTTCGCCACGTGGCCGCCCTGGAAGTTGGGAGGGGGGTTGTCAGGTTCAAGAAGCAAATGCGACTTAGGAAAATAAAGCGAATGCGCACTCGACCACACATATAGGGCAGGGAAAGGAAACACTACGATGGTGAATTAATTTTTCTGGCCCCGGGACGCTTCCCCGTGGAAATAACGCTTTCCTCTCTGCCGCCGGTGCTTTTTCAAGTTGACATAGGTCATTTCATGTCAGACCTATAGGCCTGATGTGGGGGGGGGGGAGAGAAAAAGCGCAGAGAGCTGCTGCAGAGGCTGGTATTGCAGTGTGGTACCAGCGGGGAGGGGAGAAAGAATGGCCTCGGATGGCCATGTGCTTCAGTAGGCGGAGCATGATAGCACCTTGCAAGATGAGGAGGAACCATGTAATCGCAAGATGGCAACTGTTCTTTGTAACCTGCAGGCATATAAGTGGAATCGTGCGCTGTGAAAAGCTAATTGGTGCTCTAGAACGGCATGGCGTTTGTGTGCTTTTAACAAGAGGTGGAAGAGCAGTGCTTATAAAGCTTTCTCCTGTATGTTTAAATGGTACTCAGGATTTTTTTCTCTATTGGATCTGATCCCAACTTGTGACTGATTGGATCTGATCCCAACTTGTGACAGCTATGAACACTGTAAACTTCCAAGGGTTTTTGTTTTTTGTAGATGTAGAAGTGAAGCAGATCTGTTCGGATTTGCATGTGGGTTAAACAAGGACACACAGACTGCAGTCTTTTTTGGGAGTAAGGCCCTTTCGGTGGGCGTTTTTTTTAGTAGAAGTGTAAAAGATTGCATATTACATTTTCTCTGTTAGGCCTGTAAAGGGAGCTAAATATTCAAGCTATTTAATAGCAAACACATTGCTGCTTTTGCAGGTTGTGAACTAAAGGCAGACAAGGAGTATCATTTCAAGGTGAATGATGAAGAAAATGATCATCAGCTCTCTTTAAGAACGGTAAGTGCTGATTCTTGGAAAATACTGAAGAACTACTAGAACAAGTGCTGCAAAATAATTGCAGATTGTACTGATGCAAAACATTGTGGCAATTGCACCTGAAAAGTTCACTGATGTGGCCAGAATGGGTATTTGATGCAGCTATCTAGATACTGGCTTGATATGTTTTGGTACCACTATGCTGTGGTCACGCTTTCTGTGGCTTCACCTGAGGCTACCATGGAAGACCTGTTAAAATATCACTGCAGAAATATAGGTGGCTTAAATTATCATTCCTCTTCCAAAGATTCTTTCCTGAGGACCTCACCACCATTCACTTAATATGACAATTGTCAAAACTATAGTGTTCTTGGGCATCTCAATTAAACTTGAAGTAACGAGTACACCTTTACGTTATGGCACCAACTGAGAATAAAGTAAGCTGCTCTGGTATACCATTCTTTGTGTTGGGTAGTTGTAGCACTAAGGCTGTACGCCTCAGCTGTTCTCCTTGTCAAACACTGTACCTTGTTCTACAGGTTAGCTTAGGGGCTGGTGCTAAAGATGAGTTGCATGTTGTTGAAGCAGAAGCATTGGACTACGAAGGCAAGCAGATTACTGTCACTCTGGCATCCTTGAAGATGTCAGTGCAGCCTACGGTAAGTTTTTCGCTTATCTGTTAAAATTGGTGGGATGAAATCAAAATAAACAAATACTATATAACGCTGGTCCCTTGCGCATTTTTTCTAGTTGTATTCTCACAGGATTTTGATTGTACAGTAGCTACGTAGTCGAAAACTAAAGTGGATACTTAAGAGCTCTTCTTAAGAGCCTGTGGTGAAGGAAGGTTGAACATGTGACCTTGGCTCTTACCTGTGGTTTAGTGTTGCATCTTAATTTGGTCAGCAAGTTTACTGGGTTACATGACTTAGCTTTCGTCTTTTTATTTTGTGCAGTGATGTGGGCTTATTGGACATTTTTATGGTAATCTAAATTGATTTCAATGTTTCACATCTAGGAAACAAAAACAAGAGAAAGACACTGTTAAAACAGTCCCCCCCCATAGAATTTGTTTAGGGAATAATTAATTAAAGCACCATTAATGTTGTGTAAATGTTGGATGACATTCAGTATCACATGAGCAGACATCTCCTTCCTCTTCTCTCCATGGTAAGTGGGTCTCCCAACTCTTTAGAATGGATTTGGGGGTGGGGAAACCTGCTCTGTCAATCTGATCTGCAGTTATGGTTGGATTTTACCCATTACGTTTAAACAAATGTGAAGCTTTACTCAACATACTAATGTGAGTATGCCTAAAGGACTATTAGAATTTTGAAATACCTGCCCAACCTTACAGGTAATGTGTTCATTTGTTAAAACTACTAATTTTATGAAACAATGCATTTATGGAAATGAAAATTTTTCTATTATGGAAAAGCTTCATCCTGCATTACTGATTCTTTAAGTTACTTTGAGCTCTTTGAAAAAGCAGCCTAAGACATCTGAAGGCAGCCCTGTATTGGGAAATTTCAAATGTCTGATATTTTACAGTTTTTTTTATATATGCTGTAAGCTGCTCAGAGTGGCTGGGGAAATCCAGCCAGATGGGCGGGTTATGAATAATAGTAGTAATAAATGCTCAAAGAGAAGTCCTTTTATTTACGTAGGCTTAGAAACATTACATTTTTTGTACTATGAAACTTTTTATTCCACTGTAACTGGCAGAAGCTACATTATAAAAATTGTGTTTTGTAGTTGCAAGTAGAATTATTTAATGTTCTGATCTGTTTGCATGGGGAATAGACAAAGGCTTAGCAGATACAGCCAGCCTTGGTAGCCAAACATTTGTTTCTTGGCGCCAGCTTTGAAGTAGTCTTACCATTGCAGGTTCTTTAAAAAGTGCTATCATACAGTAGATAGATTCTTATTTCTGCTGAGATTCACATTGTTTTATCTGTATTAAGTGGCTTATGTTTTTAAAATGACTTTGTAATTTGAATGTATTGTACAGGAATAGGGACCCTTTTTCAGCCTAATGGTATTTATTTTACTTAAGGCATTTATATACACCCTTTAGCCAAAAAGACTCTCGGAGTGGCTTTCATTAGTACAAAGATGATCCCTAACCTCAGGCTCAGTCTGTAATGACATGATGACACAGTTGGAAAAAGGAACAGAAGAAGGCAAGAGGGGAAGGCAAGGAGGCACAGGTTTTTTGTTACAGTTCTTACAGTGCAGTTACATAGGTCAGTTCATGCAGATTCTGGCTGTGTAGAGCAGCAGTAGCTCCTCACTGATGTCGGTGGCAGCTGTGACTGTCTTGCTCTTAAGGGCAGCTCTCTCCAGAAGCACACTTCTCCCCAGATCAGATCTGTGAGCAGAGCTAGTGACAAGCGTCCGGCACAGGAGGACACGGCAGCTCCTGCCATACGCTTCTTTTCTCAAACTGATGTATTGATGGCTGTTAAAATCCTCACAGGCAACCTTTTTACGTATTAATTAATTAAATTTGTATGCCGGAGATCTCAGGGTGGTTTATAGGCGTGTGGACTGCATGTCAGTTGCAGGTGGGTCCAGAGGCAAAAGGGAGCAGAGCAAAAGATGTTGCTCCTCTCTCTACATAGCAGGCTGAACTGAATTCATGCAAGTGTCTGAGATTTCTATCCCGCTCTTTGCCCGGGCAAGCAAGAACTTTATTGCAGTTCAAGGACACATTGCAGCCTGGCGCTTGAGGGTGCAGAGCAAGGCCTTTTAGGGGAGTGGCTTTGGGAAGAGTGGGTGTTATTTGGGGAGAGCACCATAAGCTAGCTAAGAGAGGCTCTATGGGACCTGGCCTCCTGGCCTGAGGTTTTCCACGTCTATCATGTTTTTATGGTCTGTAAGCTGCCTTAAGTGGGCTTTGCCCCCCCCCCCCGAGCTATTACCTTTGTAAATAAAAACAGATATGCATTTCTAAAAACAGATAAAATCGACAAAGTTACATAATTCAGGCTTTCATTAGGTTGATAAACATATGAAATGCCTTTACTGTGATTCGTTATACAACCTTTGGCATTATTTTTCTCTCAATTTGTTAAAGAATATTCCCTCATTTAGGTTTTTGTACATTAGTTGTTTTGGCAGAAACCTTGTGAATAACGGGTTTTGGCTAGTCAGATGTCTGTTGCAATTTTCTGTCTTACTCAGTTTTGAATCACCCATTTTTCAAGAAGTCCTGTAACACTTCAAAGGCTAAAGTAGCTTGGCTGAAACTGCTCCATTAAATGCATAGGTTCAACTAAGAAAGGGCTTTCAGCCAGCTGAAAAATGTTTAGCTTTTATAAAGTTCTATCATTTTAAATACTAGTTTGGACTCTACCAAATAAAATGGGAAAGAGGTTCTGCTTTTACTTCATGCAGAACCCTAGACCACTTTTGCCTGTTTGAGTAGAGATGTATGATAATCCAATGCCTTTTCTAGACCCGTTGGGAATTGTGAGTTATGTAGCTTTGGCAATACTGTCTATATGATGCAAATATTTCAACTATGCTTTGTACGTTTTCCCCCTTCAGGTTTCATTAGGTGGCTTTGAAATCACACCACCAGTAATTCTGAGGTTGAAGAGTGGCTCAGGACCAGTTTATGTCAGTGGTCAACATCTCGTAGGTAAGAAAGTGACCTCTCTTCAGTTTCACTTAATTTCTGTCTGAACACATAAATTTGGTAAAGTGAATGCATCTCTTATGGCCTGCCATAATGTTGAAAAGTTGTGTGTAGCCTTACTTGACTTGTTCCATATCTTCAGCTTTAGAAGAAGAACCAGAATCTTCTGAAGATGAAGATGATGATGATGATAAGGTACTACACAACACAGCAAAAAGGCCTGCAGGTGTGACATTGGCTAAAGTTCCACAGGTAAGCTGATTGGGGGGGGGGGATGGCTGCTTTGGAATTGATAGTGTGTCTATAGGAATGGGTTTCCTCACACAAGCTCTTAAAAACCAAGGAACCCACCTGTGTTCTAGCTTGTATGTTTGGCAAGAGAAATTTTGCATAGGTCCTCTGAATCTAGACTTAGGAATAAAATAAAACCAAATTTTGTATATAAATTAGATGAAGCCTTATCATGTGGTGTATGTAAAAAAGACCAAAAGGCTTTATTTTAATTGGTTGTCACCCTTTTTGGATCGGTGGGTACATTTTGATTTTTAAGGGAGTGCTGTTGTGCCCTAGGAAGGAAGAATATAGAACTGAAAGAGGAAGTAAGGCATATCGTCCCTTCCAACTTCCTTTTTCAGCTCTACTTTTCAAGGAAGAAAAAGGTAATCATCCTCACAATTCATAACTAAAGGGATAGTCAGTGGAGGAAACTCAGAGGCCTTCTAGGTGCCAGCGAAGACTTCAGTGGTGAATCCTACATTAGCAGGTCTAAACTTAGAATCAAAACATTGGGCATATTTGTAATCCCTTCCATACGTTCTTTCTTTAAAAGAAAAAAGTAAAGCTGACAGAGGATGACGATGATGATGAAGACGACGAAGATGATGATGATGAGTAAGTTACCTTTTGGAATATGTTCAGTGTTTTTAACAATTTGGCAATAAATGTCAGCTTCGCACCCAGAAAAATTGTCTTTTTCAAAAGTAGTTATTTAGATTGATCGGTTTGTTTTATTTATGAATATTTGTGAGGATACATGTGCCTTCTTAAAATGTTGCCATTAATAGCAAAATTTTAGTTTTTGCTAGTGAAAAGACAAGCATCATTTTTTTTTACTTTATTTAGTTGGCTTTCCTACCCTGGTTTAAATTCAGAAAGGATCTCCACAGCACCTTAAAAAGAACAGAATTAAATTAGGAATGCTTATACATGCTCTGAAATTGGCATTGCTCTGAGTTAGTGTGTCGCCCCCCCAACCCAGTTCACATTAAGTTGTAGTTTCCACTTCTGTTTATCTCTTACTGGTATAATACAAGTTGGATGAGGGCCTTCAAAGATTCTTAAATTCCCATGCTTTTGGGTGTTGATATTAATTGGAATTTTTAATTGTAGTGACGATGACGACATGGATGATGATGAGGAGGAAGAGAAGACTCCAGCAAAAAAAGTGAGTAATTATGTACAATTCAGAAATCACTTCACAATGTATAACTTTGTACTTACAGAAGGGATTATTAACATTTCTATAGGTTGTTTGTTTATGCTATTGGAATGATGTGGTTGAATATAAAGGTGAGCATGTAAGTATTGTATCCCAACCCTCATAGCAAAGAAAACATTTTCCAGTATCTTTTCTCACAATTTGGTGACAAGTTGCTGAAAAAGAACTGAGCTATTTTTGACAGAATGATTTCTATCCCACTGAAATGATCGAGGTGATTTAAAAACATTAAAACAATTATTTTGTGAGTTCCTGTCTGCCATGTTGGTGCAAATAGTGCGAAAATTGCTATTTGCTACTGATTACATGTCAAAACCTCCTTATACCCTATCACCAATTCAGAAGGGGGTTTCTTTTTAGTTGACTTGGTTTGTGTTGATGCTACCTTTGTTGAGCTCATGCTCTAGTAATCTAGTTGTAAATTTCACGTATTTTGAATGCACAGAAGAGTGCTTTCAATCAAGCACGGGTTTAAATCAGTCTCTGAGAGTTAATAATTACTAGCTGGTTCATATGCAAACATTGCCTGCCCCTGTCTTAAGACTGGTACTGTCCAATACCCTTGTACGGTCTCAAAATGCTGGTTCTGAAACATTTTTTTAGTCCTCTGTGCTTCAGCTCTGTGTCTTGGTGCTTCAAAGCAACAACAGTTGCATTCCCAAATTAAAAAGCAAACATGTCTGATAAGCGCTGTTGGCTTGTCAGTGTTTGAAGGGATAGGGCTCTGAACTGGCCTAGTCTTGAAAGGAAGCTTCTGAGTGAGGACACTGAGGCTCCCTCCCTCTATTGCACAGTCCAGGATCAAGTGCTATTTGGCTCTTCCTCTCCTAGAACTGTCACATGTGGTATCCATAGTTCCTGAATCTTATTTCTTCTTCTTCCCATCACCTTTTGTTTTCATTAATCAGCAAATGGTTGTTTAATCACATTGGCAGGAGTAAGTTGCGGCACTCTATTGACTCCTTTTCAAGGCCTGGGCTAGACTGGGAAGTTGACCAGCCTTGACTCAGTGAATCTGTGCTTATGCCTTTTGAGTTGAGAGCTTTGGGATTAGGAGAGTGTGTGAACGTCTCCCCTGTCATGGCACTTCTTGTTCTGTTCCCTTGGCATGGGCTGTAAACAAAATCCACTTGTCTAAGTGGGGACAGAAGATTCCCTTCCAGAGGGAAATGTAGCTTTTGCTTTGGGATAGATAGGTGGAAATAGGAAGGTGCTTTTAAAATAAATGATTTTAAAAGAAAAATTTTAGTATGGAGCAACTGCAGTAAATTGATTTAGATTATGTAAAGCTATCAGCCAGGATGGTGGTGGTGGTATTATTATTATTATTATTATTATTATTATTATTATTATGCACCATCAAGTAATAAGATCTTAATCTTTGGAGAAGTAAAATGATAAAAACTCCACACTTTTACAGACTTTACAGACTTGGGGCACTAGGTGGCACTGTGGTTTAAAGATTAAGTTGGATTAGATATTTTTCAGTTGTGGCTTTCACCTTCCATTAACAATTTATCTGAGCTCATTACATGTCTGTATAACTTATGAAAAATAATAGAAAAGATCTGAACAAGAGTTGGGGATTTTAATATTTTTTAAAGATAGGATTTGTGATTTTTTTGTGTTATGAGATTTAGAACCATTAAGGCTATTAAAATCAATTTAATTTGCATTACTGGGGATCTTAATTTAAAATTGTGAATCAATTTAAAAATGAATTATGGCTACTAAGTTTTAATCAAGTATAACATTATTGGTTAAATACAAGTTAGTAGAGTCTAAGATTGTAGTTATTTTGTTTGTACCAGTTGCCAATTTTTACTTGTGTTTGTAGTGTGTTACTAATTAAGTTTGTAATGCATTCATGTTTCTTTCAGAAAAAATAAGATGATCTCCAACTAAGTTGTGTGTAGTAGACCCACTGAAATGAATGGACTTAAGTAATAAGTCAATTGATTTCAAAAGGTCTGTAGCACTGCAAAGTGCAATGTCAACCAAAATCTTTACTTTTCTAGGTTATCACCACAACAGTTGTTATTAACACTGGGCTTCAGTAAAGCAAATAATTTAATTAAACAGTGCCTATATGATATCGAGCTACAGAATAATCTGGCCATAAGGAATTTTTGTCCACGGTATGATTATTTTCCACCTAGTCATTTTGACACCCTATTTGCAAATGTGGTATTTGGCTAGTAGAGAATGGAATCTTTCGGCAGATTCACATAAAGTGGAGCACTGATAGATTCTTACATTTATTCCTATTTTAGCCTGCCCGAGATTCTTCTGCAAAGAACACACCAAAATCAAACCAGAATGGGAAAGATTCCAAGCTGGGAACACCCAAGTCAAAAGTAGGTATAAATTCCTTAATACACTGGGTATTCATAATTTGCCTGCAAATTTGTGGAATAATTGGGAATTATTTGAACATCTGTTCACTACAAACTTTTGGAAGTTAGATGTGGAATTTCAATACCCGGTTTAAAATAGCTCTCACATGTAACAGGAGACAAAAACTAGAATTCACATTAATGTAGTTGATGAAATGACCCATGTTTTTAGAAGGGCTGTATATCTGGACTTCTTGTACAAGCTAGACAGTTGTGGTTGTAGACCTTGACACCTGTTACCTCTGTCTAGCGGATGCAACATTATATTGGCACAAGGGCATTTGCTACTTGGTTGTACACACCGTTTGCCTTATGCAGCAGAAAATAAATTGGTGTTAATAATCTGAATCTGAAACCAAAGCATATAGTATAAACACAAGGCATTGGGCACAGTGACCAGATAGTAAATACTATGTTGTCATATTGTTGAGAAATGTAATTAAGTTGCTCTGTTTTAGACTCCGGAGTCTCATAAAGAGAAGAAACCACAGAGTCCAAAAACACCAAAAACCTTCACCGTAGATGAGATGAAAGCAAAAATGCAGGCAAGCGTACAAAAGGTAAGTTTACTGGCTAGTAGAGATTGCCTTACTGAAAATTTTAATTGCTGCTGAGCTCATAGTGGCAAGGAAGATGTAAATCCTTTGTTCAGGTACTGAATGTAAAATTTTTGATATGCTTGAATTTTAATATAAGTGGTGCTTGGTGAATGTACCAAAATCTAATAGATATAAAATTGCAGGAAACTTGACGATCTGTTTTATAAGAAAAAAAATGAGCAATATGAAATACTTTTCGAAACTAACCTTCTGTTCTAAGAACATACTGCTCTGGTTTGCCAGAAGCTGCTTAGTCATGCTGGCCACATGTACTATAGGCTCCCTCGGCCTATAGAGCGAGATGAGCGGCGCAACCCCAGAGTTGGCCATGACTATACCTAATGGTCAGGGGTCCCTTTATCTTTACCAGTGATATAAACAGACTAGAGTGCTGCACACAAAGTGTATCTGTTTACCAGTTGGATAAATTGATGTGTGCTGGCGAGGAGGTGGTGAAGATGAATACTGAAACTGTCAGCATTGCAAATAAATGAAGGAAGGTTTTATTATCTGGACTTAAATATCACAAAGACCTCAGCATTAAGCGGAAATAAACATGCCTTGCAGAAAAAGCTCAAAAAAATAGTTTCTATAATGCATTTTAGTGGTAAATAACTACTCTAATCTGTTGCATGTTATCATTATACTCAAGCTATATACAGTCCTGTCCGGTTGAATACTGGGAACTGCTTGAGTAAATATGTACAGGCTGAAAATACCATAGTTGCTGTAGGTGCAAGATTAACAGTCCTGAACTTGCATGTTGCAGTCATGTCAGTAAATACAAACTTAATTTTGCAACTTGGGTTTGTTTGTGAGAAATCCACAAATTCTGATTCCAAACTTTTGAGTTTTGTATTCTTCAGAAGCTTTGTTTCATTGAGCTTCTCACTTCTTCATGTTATCCCCTTGATTGTATCTGTACTTCTACATATACAGTTATTTCATTTCATGCAAAAAGATGGAGGAATCTAAGGCATGTGAAAAGCAACAGGATTCAGGCGAGTTGCTTGTTTCATTGTGCAGCCAAGTGCTATAATCACAAGCACCACTACCCCAATTTCTGATCCCCCCCCAACTGGGCAAAAAAAAAATGCTGAGGAAAAAAATTCTCCCCTAGGCACTCAGATCTTACATTTCCCCTATTCCTGCAATCTCACTAGAACAAATGTTGTCCTGTGAACAGGAATTGGCATGCTTTGTCTCTGATAGTAGCAAAGGTCCTCCAGAATGTTGCATGTGAATCAGATTATCTTAAAATTTGTGTAGTAATTTATTTCCATGTACCACACAGGCTAAAAGTCTTTCAGTTCCTTGTGTCAATCTTAAGTTTCACTGTTATTTTCTTTTTTGCAATAGGGAACTAGTTTGCCTAAGGTGGAGGCCAAGTTTGTGAATTACATTAAGAATTGTTTCAGGACAGAGGACCAGAAGGTAATGGAATCAATCAGGTCTTGATTAAATCGCTAGAATAAAATGTTGCCCCCTTTCCCAATCACTTTCCACACACTTTAGAGCTTCAGCTACAAGCAGTACGTGGGACTAGATAAATGGAAGCTGTCTGTGGGAAAGGAAACATTTTTCTCCATTTTGATGGCCGGTGTCTCTTCACTTTTAAACCCACAGGATTCTCCAGCCCCATTTTGACCAAGTAAAATGGTGTTGTGGCTTTCTACTGCTGAATTTGGCTAGCCTTCCCTTCAGTTTCCTTTTTGCAGGGAAGAACTACTGCGCTAGAACCTTTGGCAGTCTTGATGCTTTCCTTTCCCAAAGTCAACCAATTTACTGTGTGACAGCATGCCAGGAGGTGCTGGTGCTGGTATCAGGAAGCAAGCTGTATTGGGTTAGACCTGTAAATCTTAAATTTCACTATCAAAATTCCTTAAACAAAATTGTTATGCTTTTCTGCTTTCCCCCAAACACTTCAAAGCTGTCGGGAGGGAGAGGGGTGGTGGAAATTGTGGCCCGTTGAAGGGAGAATGTTTGAAAGCAGCTAGTTCAGCTACTGAAGTGGATTTGGACATAAGGCAGGGCAGGCAGAGTTCAGACAGTATTTGCCTAGCTGAGACACACCCTTCCTTTTGCTTTCCTTTACTATGCTTTATAGGGTGTGAGCAGTCTTAAAAGGCAAAATATATTGGGTAATTTTAATCTTGGTGTACTGAGTGGTGTACTGGGTAAGCATTTTTTTTATAAAATTAGCACAGACTTGGATTTCATATACACTTGTCCTGCTAACTGTACCTAGATGAAAGAAACTTTTAAGTGGAAAATTCCATGCCCATAAATACTTTATGCAGATCATTTATTGTTTTAAATAGCTTTTCTGGGGCTTAATGCAATTTGTACTCTAAAGGAAGATCCAAGACGGAACTAACTAACCTTTTTTTTATTTTTGGTGTGTTTTAGGTTATTCAAGCACTCTGGCAGTGGAGGCAGACTCTGTGAGCAAGAAGTTAACAAATGACTCCTTTCAAAGTTTCAGTTCTGTGTGTATAACCATTAATATCTGGCTGTCCTTTTTATAAATGCTAAAGCTTTCCCTACAGAGTCTTGATTAATGTCCAGAATGTTTTGCCAAGAATGTGTTGTCCAAAATGCCTGTACGGTTTTTAAGACCAGGACTCCACCCTTTTAATTTCAAATATGTATGGAATGTTTTGATAATGCATAGTAGTGGTGGTCAAAAATGGAAATGGGGAAACTTAAATGTAAATGTGAAAATAAAGTTTAGTATTTTAAGTAGCTTTGCTGCTTTTTTTGTTGGATTGAGCTTTTCTCCCATACAAGTTGCAGTACACTCATACAAACAGGGTTCCTTAATCACATTTTCCCAAGAGCATGAGGTGTGGAATTCCTTTCAGAATGGTATTTTGACAGTTCCTGATGGTTTTATTTGTTTATCGTTGGCATCCGTCTGCCTTGAGAGACAATGAAGAGTGCACCTCTAGGGTTGAAGTCACAACTGCTGGAGGATCCCTGTTGCCTTTTCGATTCCCATGTTTTGGCAAGGGTTTTCTAAATTCTGTATTGAGCTGTATCCCAGTGAATGCCAAAACATCTTAGAAGCTGGCTAGGCCTCACGATGTGAACCAAGGAAGGTTAGGGGTTTTTTTTGAAGAAGAGTTTGGATTTGATACCCCGCTTTATCACTACCCAAAGGAGCCTCAAAGCGGCTAACATTCTCCTTTCCCTTCCTCCCCCACAACAAACACTCTGTGAGGTGAGTGGGGCTGAGAGACTTCAGAGAAGTGTGACTAGCCCAAGGTCACCCAGCAGCTGCATGTGGAGAAGCGGAGACGCGAACCCGGTTCACCAGATTACGAGTCTACCACTCTTAAATACTACACCACACTGGCTTTTGTTTGCAGCTCTCTTACATAGCACGGTCAATGTACATGTAGACCTTTGGGGGGGTTATATCCTTCCTAAATGTTTGCTTAGGAGGTTGGATATCTGCTGATAAATCTGTACAGGCTTTTATGCACTCATCCATTCCTGTTTATCATGTATTGTAAAAGTGCCCCAAAGTCTTCTTGGCAAACTCTGAAACTTCTCATTCTGTGTTTCTTGTGCAAGGAGGCAAGACCCAAAAGAAAGAACATGCAAAGGTTTTATTTTGGACTGTAGGGACAATGTAGAACTTGAATGAAAATGCAGAACATCTCTTAAGATAATAACTTGTACAGAGTGTTTCGGTAAGCAGAAAGTACGATTGGGAGTTGAAGGGAGAAGGAGATGCCTGGCTGTGCCTTTCTCTCTAAGGGTCTCGAGTTCATGCTCAGCTGCAGCCAGAGTGGAATATGTAATGGACATGTCTCTTAATATAACATTTAGTGGTAGTAATGGTGTCAGTTACAGTTTATCTAGTACAGTCAACTTGCCTGACCAAAACTGCCAGATGATGGAGGCTACAGTGACTGAGCAATTCCATGCGACAACCTAATTGTGACCATTGTCTAGTGCTGCTTGCTTTGGAAGCAAATTTAGATTGTCTTTGGTGGTGGACTGAAGGCATCAAATTAACTTCCTAGAAGCAGTATTTTCACAAAACGAAGTCTGTTCTTTTTACTGAACCAAACTCCTGCAGAGCTCAGTGCTGGCTAGTCCCTCTTGAAAATATGCTCACGGCGCTCTACCCAGCTATGGATCTTTGAAACCTCTGCCACTCGTGCAATCCCTGACTGTCTTGTAAAAAACATGATTTGATTTACTCTCAGTGCTCCAGTTCCAGCCATGTCCCTTTCCAAAATCCTGCATTTCGTTCCTCTGGTTTTCTGTTTCCCTGCCCTCATGGCATGTAGCATGCCTAGTCCTCTGGGCTGTTTCTGGTTTTGTTTTTTGTCCTCTTAGGTTTGCTCTATATTTGTATAGTTTGAATCCCTCCAACTGTGCTGATACCATTGTAACAGAAACAGGACCACGAGAAACAAAATTTTCAGCATTGTACTCAACAGCTGAGTTTGTTAATACGTTCTGAAGCTTTAGTCAGAGTAGGGAATCATGTGGTATCAATTTATGTTTATGTGAACTTAGCTGCAGGAACTCGTGCCCGCGCCCCCAGCCCATTTAGTTACAATGAGGTAGGTTGGTGGAGAGGTCATGTTTGGGCCATGGTCACCCCGTGCATTGGTGTGGTTGAGTTGTGACTTGAAGCCACATCTTTGGGGCTAGTTGAAGCAAACCGGTACAGCCATACCTTGAGTTGGATGTGCTTTGGGTTGAGCGTGTTCCAGTTGCGCTCTGCGGCAACCCGGAAGTAACGGATCCCGTTCGCATCCCGAGGTACCACTGTGTTTCTCACCACCATGAGAGCTACACAAAGACCAATTGGTTAGCCTCTTGTAATGTAGACCAAGCAATGGCAACTATTATCAGGTTGGCCCTTCATAACGTAAAGTGTTGTTTTATCACCCTGTTCAGAGATACAAAGCGGGCAGGTGATATCTGTATTAAAAACACTGGGAAGAGCTCACAGAATGGAAATAAATGGAAAATCCCATGACGCTAACATGGGAAGACAATAGTGCTCTTGGGGTGACAAGATCACTGCAATGGGTTTTTTTTGAGGGGTGGGGTAGAATATATCAGTTCAGTACATCTTGAGGTGTCACTCGAGCATGTAGTTCAACACCATTAGGATGGCCTATCCTTCACTGGCTGAAGTGAGCACTCTCAGTTGCACAGTGCTTTTCTCCAAAGGAAAACCCCCAAAATAGGTGTATGCAGGGGGTGAGGGTGGGAATTAATCATGCTGCCCAAAAGAATATCACAGTGGGGCTCTTTCCAATCATCCCAAACACAAATGTTGGAGACGTGTACAATCCTAGTCTCTGGGTATAGGGCATTATATAAATTCAACAAATGATGATAATAGAAGCTGTAACCCAAATACAGCTATGAAGAGTCCTAACTAGTTTTTACCCACATTCGTTCAGAAGGTTCCTGAGAACTTGAATCTGATAATACTGGAGCCCCTGGTTGTTTCTATCTGTGTGGGATGTAAATCAGTTATGCTAGAGCTATCTGCCGTGCTTCCCTCAAGTACTATATCATTCTTGAAAACAGCAGGAGATTGCAATAGGAAAATATTTTGAGTGCTCCACTTTTTTGATTATGGGTTTTCCCTTGTGAAACACTAATGGTTTTAGAAAGAAAAACCTAAGAAAATATAGAAAGGGCCAGGGAGGGAGTTGGGGAGGGGGAGTTTTTAAAGGAATACATGTGACCTCATTACAAAATGGAAAACTCCCTTTCCCCACATTCATTGAGTTACTTAGTTGACGTTAACCACAATCTCATCAATCTGTTGATGGAACATGCCACTTAGTAAATTAGTACTGTCTGAAAAACCTTAATTGTAAGTCCACAAGGGGATGAGGTTAATCTAAGGTCCCACCTCTTGAATGTCAAGTTACAACAATAAAAGGAACTACAAGAAATGGGCAGATCCACATATAATCATGTGGGAAGTTGTATTGTTTGACATCACTAATGGATAATGATTCTAAAGACAGAAGGTAGCTGTGAATAGCCCCTTGAAAGGATATGTGGATTTTGCTTGCTAGTAGAAAAGCAGTTAAAAAACACTCATAGTAAATATAGAGGCAAATTTATTCTTTTCTGGCTGTAAGTGATATAGAAGCTAATCACTTTGGATTAAAAAATAAAATAAAGCAAAATCGTATTTTGCTTTTTGGTAGCAGAAGGGCTCTGTCAGAAGAAGGCTTTTGATCCAGTTGAAAATTCCACTCATGGAAGGAAGCAAATTTTGCTTGATTCCTGTGTCCCTGGTTTGTGCCACCCTCTAGCAGATTTTCAGAAGCTGCAAAAGGCTACAAGGAAGAATGATTGAAATTTGCTTCCTTTGCCCTCAACTGGTGGGACAAGGGTCGTATTCAACATAGTGCTGAGCAAAACATCGCCCTTGCACACCCTAAATATGTTTTGGGTTTCCTCTCAAGCCTCCAGAGCAGATCTGGGGTCAGTTTGGGGCAAACACGTGAGTAGCGCTATTTAACTGAATACCCCCTTCAGTCTCTATCGAAGCAGCTGTTAATTCCCCCCCCCCTTTGAATGCATGCCCCTAGTACCAAATGTACTTCTGTAGTTACAAAGGTGAGCCCTTAAAAAACCCCCACACATAGTTGTTATCCCTAAGAAACGTAGAAAATAGCAGGATATATTTATCTGAAAGTCTTCAAACTTACATGACCCTTTAAAAATTAGCTGATGAAGGTGAATACATCGAAACAGGGCCCTGTCAAGAGAAAATCTTTGTAACAAATTATTGTGTTATACATATCTTTATGAGTTTGAGTTTGTAATCTCTGTTAGAGTTTGTAATCCTTGTCAGAATACATACTTTTGAATGGATTAATTTTTGTTGCTATTGACTATTGATTTGTGAGTAGGGATGACTCCCACTATTGAAACTTACATTGGCCTGAGTTCTTGGTGTGCTTTTTTTCTTGCTATATTTAATAACAAGAATTCCAACTTATTTAACCTTACAAACTGAAACAAATATTACGGCATAAACTTTAGACGGGTTACACCAAATGCATGAAGTGTTACTCTGGAGTTGCTGGTATACATTCACACGGAGGGGGAAAGTTAACATGGAGGGGAGGGATTGTAAACAGTGAGATCTCAAAGTCTTGCCCCTTGCAAAAACAACAACAGCAACAACAACCCCACTCCCTGCATCTGGTAAAGCACGAAGGTGTCAAGAACTCCCTTACTGAGTGTTTTTGGAGCCCCCTTCAAAAAAAATCCTCTTCTGGATTTTTCCCTTTAAAGTTTTAGGCAACAGCAGTTCAAGACTATTCCTTTCTATCCATCCACTCTGGGCACTGTAGTGAACCCCTTGCAGAGTTACATATCCAGCAGCCCTTTGCAAACTACAGTTCCCATAATTCTTTGAGGGAAAGAAGGTGCTTTGAAGGTGCTTTAGAGGTACAGTGTGTACCACAACCTCAGGGAACAATCTCTCTTTTTCTGCTTCGTTTTCTGTCTCTTGCTTTGCTCTTCATCAGCCTTTTTGCATTTGTTCCTTTGTTTTCCATTGTTTCTCTCCTTCGATCTGATGCGAGCCACCTTGTGGTTGTTTTTATTATTATTTAAAGGTGGAAATGCAGTGCACAAATGTTTGAAATGAAACAAATTAGTTGTACAGCATTCTTTGGATATACCGTATTTTTTGCTCTATAAGACTCACTTTTCCCCTCCTAAAAAGTAAGGGG